CCTGGAAGCGTCGCCCGTTGCAAATCACCTCGAGTACTAGTGGTTGTTGCTGCTCCGAGTAGCCGTAGATGGTATCGCTTATAGGATCGTAGGGTACGTCGAATATGTCATCCCTAGGTCCAGCGCTCGAAGATGCATCTTCAATATCAGGTATCACTTGAGTAGGGTTAGAAGGATTTATTCGAGGCTGGTACAGCTTCTTTTGAGCCTGGAACCTTCTTTTAGACCTTTGCAACTGTGTAGGCTTCATCTGTGGGGCCTTTAAACAGAGCTGCTGGGAGAGAATATTAACTCCTCGGAACGCTCGACCCTTATTAGCGCTCTGGAGTAGGGTCCCCATATTACCCGGTACCGGTTTAATTTCGGACTCTCCCTTAATAAAGGCTTGAAACCCACGAGAAGTAATATTCTTACTTGTCAGGGTGTACGGCTGGAGTTTCCCGGTCGGTGCAGGGTCTTGTTTCGCGGATCCTCCTTTAGTCTCGGCGATTTCCCCTGGTGCCGGCTGGTCGTGACGTTTTAAATTCGCGCCACTATATTCTCCTTTTTTCGCCCTCTCCGAAGTTGCCACGTTGTCCATTTTCTCCTTCGGGGGTGCCGCACTGTTCTTGTCCCTCAGCTCCGCACGTGCTTTCTCCATTTTCCAACACGCCAAGAAACGATGTCCTGTAGCGCCGCAAAATTCGCACGTCTCATTTTTTGCTAGCCGCTGCTCCACATCGCCCTTCTCGTTCTCCATCGGGTCGGCAGTCGTGGGTGGTGCCAATCGCCCCATGCCACTATTTGGATTGTTGCGTTGTGTTCCGTAGTAGCTACTGTTCAACGCGTCGAACTGTTCGATCAGTGTTGCACGAAACTGCGCCCACGTCCCTTCGCCTTGGACTATACCGTTGTTGATCCACTCTAGAGCTGGGCCTCGTAACAGTGTTGCTGCGAGCCGTATGCACATTACGTCTTGGTTGAGGGTCGTGCATCCAACGGCTTCGAAAATTTTTTCTAGTACAGCTACAAATCGACGGACGTCGCTCCCTTTCGCGCTAGGATCGAACACCTCTGGTTGCCTCGGCTTCACTGCTTCAAGACTAACTGTAGCTGCTGCCGTTGTCGCAGGTAGAATTGTCGGTTTCGCCGCCGCTGCTGTTGCTGTTGCCGCTGTCGCTGCTGCATTCGCTGCTGCTGTGGCGGTTGCCGACTGATTCGCAAGGAGTTTTTCGAGTCTTGGGAGCGCTGCACGTATCCGCTTATGCTCAGCACGTAACTCCGCGATCTTCTGTACTGAAATATCTCCGTTTCCCTCCATTTGGCGATTTACAGGAAGATGCGCGACGAAAATAATCGAATTCTAGGTGCTGGTCGACTTACTGCGAGTCGAGTTGACTGTAGAATCGACGAGCGCAAATTCTGTAAGTCGCGTAAATCTCCCTTAGTCGAAATTCGCGTTCGATCTCGGCCGTTGAGAAAAATATCGATCCGACGCTCCAAATTCCAACTTGTTTGGGCGAAATTCTCTGGGCCGTTGAGATGAAACTCGATCGAACGGTCGAAACTCCAACCTTTTCACCAGTAAATCTGAGGGGTGTTCGAAAACCGAATCGAGGGGGACTTAGAAAAATTGCGCGGAACTGGTTTTACATACCCGTATCGGCGCTTTCGTCGTCGCCCCCGCGGTTTTTAAAGGTCGGAACTAAGCGGTTGACAACCTCGCGTGTAAACCCGCTCTGATTACCAAGTGTGAGGATCTGGTTCAGGAAAGATGATTTTATTGAATGATTCACCTGGGTACAAGACGAGGCTATCTATAGGCTCGACACAAAAGCAGTAACCCGAATGTTACTAGAAGGTTCCGCGGGTCGCGAAGCGTCCCGAACGGGTCCTTCCCGAATTCGGTAGAAGGCAATTCGGTGGCAACCGAAAAGCCTAGAATTCGGTGCACTCAACCTAGTTCGGTGCTATAACTATAATATCTATAGTAGAAGCAACGAACCTAGGAAATCAAGCAAAAGCAAGCAAAGCAAAATAAAGCTAAGCTAGATAATGCGTAATAAAGTCCAGGCAAGCTAGCAAAGCCAGCATAAGCCGTCGTACTCTCACAACCCCCATACCCTGCTGCTCTATAGCATATTTTGATCCGACCTGACCCGACCCGTGGTGTAACCGACCCGGTTACGGGTCACAAATACCCGTTTCAACGGGGCGGGTCGGGTCACCAAAACAGAGTAAAACCCGACCCGCTGACCCGACCCGTCCCGACCCGTTAGGATAACGGGTCGCCCTAAACGGGACGGGTCGGGCCAGGTCGGGCCAGATGCCCATGCCTAATCGTCATCTCCACCACCCATATCATCCTCTTTGCCTCCTCCTCCACCCCCTTCCCTCTCAGACCCAACCTCCCCTCCCTCTCGTTCACCTCCCATGCCCTCTTCCACCACCCTCCTCCCACCATCTCCAAATCTGCCACCACCAGCCACCTCTTCTCCTCCTCCTTTGTTTTCCAACCTTCCTCTGCCCTCGACGCCGCAAGACTTCCGCCTTCCATCCCTCTCCTCTCCTTCTTCGGCTCGTCCTCCCCCTTGCACCTCTATTTCCTCACCACCATCCCCTTCAGCTCCTTCCAATCCTTCACTTTTCTCACTGCTCAAGGTCTTACCCTCTCCTTCTGAACCCATTGACTTCACCCTTCCTCCTCTTTCCAAGACCTTCGCTAATGCCGCCCTTCATCATCATTACGAACCTCAAAACATCCATGAGGCCCGCACCGGCCCTGATGCTGCTGAATGGATCAAGGGTGTTGATGCGGAACTCGCTGCCCTGCACGCTAATGACACTTACAGCGTTGTTCCTTGACCACCCAAGTGCAAGCCGATTCCATGCAAATGGATTTTTAAGGTCAAGGAGCATGCTGATGGTTCTATTGAACGCCGCAAGGCCCGCCTTGTTGTCAAAGGTTTCAAACAACGCGACGGTGTTGATTTCCATGACACCTTTGCTCCTACTGTCCGCTTCGCCACCCTCCGCCTCTTCCTCACCATTGCTGCCGCTTTCGACCTGGAAGTCCATCAGCTGGACATTTCCAACGCCTTCCTCAACGGCACTCTTGATGAAATTCTCTACATGATGCAGCCTCCCGGTTATGAACTTCCGGCGGTCCATGGTGTTGAGCAAGTTTGTCTCTTGCACAAACCGTTGTACGGGTTGAAGCAAGCGCCGCGGTGCTGGTACCGCAAACTTCGTGAAGAGCTTGCTGCCTTTCACCTTTTTGCTGCCCGTGCGGACCCTGGCCTCTTCATCGCTCCTCCTCAATCTCCTTATCGGCCTACAGCTGCATCCTTCTTCATGCTTCTCGTCTATGTTGACGACCTCATCATTCTTTCCTCCTCTTCTCTTCTTTCCTCATTCAAGTGTGCCCTTTCATCTCGCTTCAAGCTTCGTGACCTCGGTCCTCTTTCCTACTACCTTGGCTTTCACATCACTCGTGATCGGACCTCCCGCACTCTCCACCTTCATGAATCCGAATTCATCGCCTCCATCTTAGACACCTACTCATTCACTCCACTTAATCCTGCTGCCACCCCCATGGACACCAAGTTTCAGCCGCCCGTGACTTCCTCCCCACACTCCTCCTCCTTTCCTTACACCTCGTTTGTCGGATCCATCATGTATGCCATGGTGGGTTCCCGTCCCGACCTCGCATGTAGAGCTGGAGTTCTTGCTCGTCACCTTCATGATTGGTCTATTCCTCACGTCTCGGCTGCCAAACGCGTCGCTCGCTACTTGAAAGGGACTACCTCGCTCGGGCTTCTCCTTGGTGGCATTCCCAACGCCCTTGAACTTCATGGGTGGTGTGACGCCTCTTGGGGACCGGAGGGAGAGCTCCGACGCTCCGTTACGTGCTACTTGTTCTTCCTCGGTCCGTCGCTCATCTCTTGGCAGTCCAAACGTCAAGCTGTCGTCGCTACCTCTTCATGTGAAGCTGAATATTATTCTTTGGGCGCCGCGGTGCATGAGGCATTATGGCTTCGATCCCTCCTTACTGCACTTGGACTTCCCCCGACCGGCCCCACCCGCATCTCGTGTGACAACAACAGTGCCATCATTCTGGCTAAGGACGAGGGCATCTTTCATCCCAAGGCCAAGCACATCGACATCAAGCACCAATTCATTCGTGATCATGTTGCCGACCACTCCGTCACCCTTCACTATGTTCCTACTCAAGACAACCTCGCTGACATTGGCACCAAGCCTTTGCCCCGTGACCCTTTTCTTCGCATCCGTGGTCTTCTCGGTCTCACCCATGTCTCCGCTTGAAGGACCCTACTCCAGGGACATCCTTGAGGGGGGGTGTTGTGCAGCAAATATGTCCTAGAGGGTAGATTCTCACATTTGGTCTTAGAGGTCGTGGGTTCAATTCTCAGCAGCTGCACCTTCCCTTCTCCTTATGCTCCACATTACATGTCCACACTCCACCACACTCCACCACAGTGAAGTGTGGTCACAGTTGGCATTGCCACCTGTCCACTCATCCCACACTCACCTTGCTGGCCTCTATGGTGTGCCATATGCTGTTATGTGGGCTGTTGTTCCAGCCTGGCCCACATGTGCAACATGAGGCCTCACTTGCTAGCTTGGCAAGGTTGGCTAGCCTTGCCCTCAGCATTGAGGTGCTGCAGCTAGCCTCAAGAGTTCAACCACATATATGTGGCTTCCCACTTCACTAGGAATCATCCTTGGACAAGGACCTTGCTCTAGTCTTTAAGACTTGTACCATTTTCTTGCTAAGGATATTTCTTCTTCTTATCGTGCCCTAAGTTCACCGATCCATTTTCTTCACCATCCATGCCATCCGTACCCATCCATACCATCCATGCCATCCGTACCCATCAATACCTTGGGCGAGATGTCCGCCTGCACTGTAAGCTGCAGCACTTTCGGGTGGCGTACCACCATCTCGGATTCAAACGCTGGTCAGCTCCAGAAGGCACTCATCCCTACCTCATGCATACCTTGGGCGAGACGTCTGCTTGCACTGTAAGCTGCAGCACTTTTGGGTGGCGCACCACCATCTCCCCGATCTGCGTGTTGGTCAGCCCCAGCAGCGAGAGGTAGCGAATCATCAGCTGCCACGTGGCGTCCAGTGAGCTGCTCAGCAGCTGCGGGCGGCGTACAATGACTCTAGCGAGGCCCACCCCTTTGATGTGGAGCGAGGCGAAGAATTCGAGCTGGCATTTGAGTGGAGAGAGGGGGGAGGGGAAGGTGGGGGACGGGGGAAGAAGGTTGTTGGAATTATGAGAGCTTGTTGCGGGAAAGAAGGTTGCACCATGGATATGTGGAGTGGAGCGAGGCAACGAAGGCGAGCTGGCAAATGGGATAGGAGAAGGGGGGGGGGGAGAAAGCAGATGTGGTCAGTGCCAGCAGTTAGGTACCAGTGTGCGATGATCATTGTGAGGCCCGCCTGCTTCCCAAAGGTGGAGAGAGTCGAAGAAAGTGAGCTGGAAGTGAAGGGGCCAGGCTTCAAAATCTGCCTACCTTGCTTTGTGATGCTTCCATGGGTAGATCTCCATCGCTCATCACATGCGGGTGGTTGTACACCACTGTGCTGTGCACGCTAGCTCTCCCACGCACTTAGGCAATGGGTGGTGCTGGAAGGAGCCTAGCAGGCAGGCGTCTGGACGGACCCCATCCAGTCCAGCATGTCCCCCTCACCTTTGCCCGCAATGCCTCCATGGGTAGATCCTCTTCGCTCATCACGTGAGGGTGGTTGTACACCACTGTGCCGGCCAACTCCCAGACGCTCTTGGGTGACGGGTGGTGCTGGAAGGAGTCTGGCAGGCGGAGGGACGCGGGGACGTCTCGAGTGGCCAGAGGAGGGAGAGATAGAACCAGCGACTCTGATTCTCCTGCTGCTGCTCTTTGCTGTGATGCTGAACTTGCGTCTGCTGCTGCTCTTCTGTCTGCTGCTGCAGCTGCTCCTGCTGCTGAGATTGTGGTTGTTGCCATTGCCTCTCCTTCCCTTCCCTCCCTCTCCTCGCTTTCCTCGCTTTCCTCCCTCTCCTCCCTCCACTCTCTCAACCTTGCCTCCTCCTCCCATTCCGCCTCTCGCGCCCTCCTCTCCCGCTCCCGCTCCTCCCACTGCTCCCGCTGCTGCGCTGCCAGCGGCTCAAGCATAGCATGCAGAAGCCGCCCCTTTCCTAGAAGCTTCTCAAATGGATCCACCAGCACGCCTGGCGCCTTGCTGAGCACCACTCCTACCCACTCTCTCCGCACGCCCACTTGATCGACCAGGTAGTCTACTCGGGCCTGGAGCAAAGGAGAAGAAGCAAGGAAGAGTATGGGAGGGGAAACACAGGAAATGCTATCAGAGATTCCACCAGCACGCCTGGCGCCTTGCTGCGCACCGCTCCCACCCACTCCCTCCGCACGCCCACTTGGTTGACCAGGCAGTCTATTCGGTGTGGGTGTGACAAGAATGGCAGGATTGAGAGGTTTAGGGGCATAACACCTGAAGCTGGTGGATGGGTGCGGCAAGGAGGGTTGCGCACGGCAATGCGCCCCACCACGTCATGCTTCACGCCTGCTCGGTGCAACCATTTGATGTCATCCCTCACCCACTTTGCACCACCCACGCACCCACACCACACCACACCACACCACACCACACCACTGCCCACTGCACCCCGCCCACCCACCCGCCCTCTCATCATGCTTGCCGACCTACCCACCTGAAGGTCATGAATGGGCGTGGCGAGGATGGCAGGGTTGCGCACGACAATGCGCCCCACCACATCATGCTTCACCCCTGCTCGGTGCACCCACTCGATGTAATCCCGCACCCACACCACACCACTCCGCCGCTCCTGCTCCTCCCCCTCACGCCGCCCATCTCCTCTGGCAACCGCATTTCCCCCCACAGCAGAAACAGCATCCGCTCCATCAGTAGAAACAGAATGCATGGCGGCAGCGAGAGTGATGAGGGCGGCAGTGCGGGCAAAGGTCTGCTTGGCCGTCTGCTTCAGCCACCACGCGAGCAGGTGCGGTGCAGAGCGGTGCACTGCGATGGCCGCGCGGTGGGGGAAGGAGTGGAATGCGTAGTGCGGATCGGACTTGAGGGCAACCGCCTGGGGTGGGGAGAGATTGAGGGGGGGGTGAGGGGCGGGTGGAAAGCAAACGTGGGGGTAGTGAGTAGAATGGGGGGAAGGAGTGGAAGGCATAGTGCGTATCGGACTTGAGGGCAGCTGCCTGGGGAGAGATTGAGGGGGGGGAGGAGAGGGAGATGAAGGAGGGAGGGGGAACGAAAGGGGAGAATGTGGGGGAACGAAAGGGGAGAACGGTAATGGTGGAATTGGGGGTCGATATAGGCGAAGGAGTGGAAGGCGTCCTGCCGATCGGCCTTGAGAGCAACGGCCTGGGATGGGGGACTGTTGGGGGAAATGCGAAGGGGATGGGGGGGAGATTGGGGAAAGGAAATCACACAAGCCATTCACCCCCGCATTCATAATTCACTTCAATTCAACCCATGGCCCTACCTCCCAAGCCAGCTCTGTGAACTCACCTGGAAATCACAAGACCCCGGCTGGAGTACTTACCTGGAAAACCACCTATAAATCCACCTGAATCCATACCTGAAGAACTAGATGGTCGATGAAGGCAGGGAGGTGCCTGATAAGCTCCCTGGAATACACCTTCCCCAGTTTCACCTCCTCGAATGCTGACATCAGCGCCGCCCGCACCACCTTGCGCCTCTCCTGCAGCGCGAGCGCCACGGGACTGTCCCGGGAAACTTCCAGGCTGCTTCCGCTGTTGCTGCTTCTATCGCCGCTGCTGCTGCTTTGAGACGGCAAGGAGGGTATACCGTTTCCTGAAAATTCCAGCCTGGGTATTCTAGCAGAGTCCACAGGGGCATTAGTACTGCTGCTGCTGCCATCCCTGGTGAAAGAAGTTTTCTCCCTGCCGCTCCTCCTAGTGCTGCTACTGTCAGTGGCCGCCGCTCTGGTCCTGGTCACACTGGAAACACCATCACCACCACCAGCATCACCATCGCCATCAGCATCACCACCCGCATCGCCATCAGCAACACTAGTAATCCCTGCGCCTGGGATCTCTGCCTCCTTCTCCTCCCACGGCCACTGCTCCTCCTCCTGCCTGCGTGACTGCCCTGCCAGCCCGCCGCCCTTTGAAGCTCTGCCAGGGACACGAGTCGGGTTCTCAGCACGTTCTGCTGCGTGTGATTCTGCTCTGCCTGACTCTGCTGTGCCTGGCTCTGCTGTGTCTAGTGCCGATGCTACCGCTGGTGCTCGTGATCCGGCTTCCACTCCTGCGTGTGATTTTGCTGCGTCTGGCTCTGCTGTGTCTAGTGCTGGTGATGCCGCTGGTGCTCGTGTGTGTTGATCGCCAACACTCACCGCCACCACCACTTGCTGTGCTGCTGCTGCTGCTGCTGCTGCTGCTGCTGCTGCTGCTGCTGCTGCTGCCGCTGCTGCTCCTGCTGCTCTGTCGGGGAACTGTGATTGCTCCTGAAATACCGCTGTGGACGGTCCATCGGTAGACCCGCCGACTGCTGCCGTGGATGGCGATTGTGACAGCACAATCAATACTCCACTTACCACTGCTGTATCAGCAACCACAGCACCACTGGAAGACCCACCAACAGCTGCTGTCACTGTGGTTGACGATACAGCGCCCTCCCATGCATACACCTCTTCTCCCCCCTTTCTCTCTACTCCTACTCCTTCCACTTCCATGCCTTCTCCACCCCTATCTAACCCTCTCGCCCTTCTCCCACCTTCCACCTCAGTCCCTCTCATACCCCCGTCCCTTGCAGTGCTCCCGTCCGCTTCAATCCTCCCATCTCCTCCACTCCCTCCACTCCCCCCTTCCTCGCCGTCCCCCCCATCCTCGCCGTCCATCCACCACGCCCGTTTCCCTCTCTTCTCCCACGAGGGAGCCACCCACGCGTCTACCCGGCTCCTGCTGCTGCTCGCCCTTTGCGCCCCTCCTCCTCCTCCTCCTCCTCCTCCTCCTCCTCCTCCTCTCACCTCTGCTCCCCTTGCTCTTAGCCCCTCATTCCCAACTCTCTCCCACGACAAACCCTCCCGCGCGTCCGCTCTGCTTCTGCTGCTCGCTCCTTGCGCCCCTCCTCCTCCTCTCTCCTCTTCTGCCTTTGCCCATGCCTCCACATCGCCTTCTCTCACCCTCCTCTGCCTCTCTTCATCTCCTCTTCTCTCTGCCGCATCCATCCCCCCTGCCTCCCCCCTCCCCCGTGCCGTATCCCGCTTCTCCACTGCGCCTCTGCGCCACACTGCGCCCCCCACTGCATCCGCTCCGCCCCTTCTTTCCCCCTCCCGCGCGGTCCATCTCCGCCCCTCCGCCACCCCATTCCGCCCCTCCCCCAGTGCACTCCGCTTCTCCCCTAGAGCATCCCGCCCCGCTCGAATCGCATTCCGCCCCTCCGCACCGGTACCCTCCCCCTTTTCCCCCACAGCCGGCGGTCTCCTCCGCTCCCCTCCGCCACTCCGACCGCCATTTCTCGACCAGTCGCGCTCGTCGATCGCGCACGACGTGATCCTTCTCCGATTGGCTGGAGAGTCCGGGTGCTTTATTCCGACCAATGGGTATTCAACTTTGCTCGCGCTCGATAGCGCGTCAGACTGAAGGAGTAATCTAAACGGGTGGTTTCGGTCACCCGATCGTCGAATTCGGACAGCCGGCATTCCTGCTCGTGCCGCCGGCATTCCTGCACGAATCCCGGTTATAGGACGTGCCACACAGTTGGTGAGTGGGAAATTTATCCGCTGGGTCAACCCGGAATTGGGCGGAGAACAGGCGTGTTGAACGGACATGGCGACAGAAACGACGTCGACAGGCCGAAGATTATACCGCACTGTACGCTCTGATGACCCAGAATTCTAGTTTGATGCTGGAGTTGCTGCTGGGCTTTCTGGGCTGCGAAGGGGAGAAGCTGCTTTCTTTTACGCACTCACTCGTGAGGATGTACGCGCTAGTGTCATGTTTGTGAGCTCGTTCTGGGTTTTCCAGAATAATTAGGCCTGTAATACAATTCAAACTGTGGAAACTGTTTCAGGGGAATCGAAACCCAAATTTCTTATTATGCCATATGGAACCTTGAATATATTCCATAAAAACACCATCGTTCTCATTCAGCGAGATACGGTAGTACACTTGCACATTCAATAATATCAGGCGAAAATGTAAGAAACATTCTGAAGGAAAACAAACAATGGATCAAAACACAATGGGCACACATCCAGATTCCACCCACTTGCTGCACATATCAACAATAAGGTCCAGAAATTGAAACCCTAAGCATAGTTCCACCACTCGCCACCCCTCCACTCCCAGACCTCTGCCAGAGCTGTGCCAAACGCTTCGAGAAAGCCATGCAACAGTCCCACCCACTCTGTGCTTACATCTCTCCTCCATACCCCCCCGATCCCAGGTAGTCCTTTTGTGTGCCCGAGATGGCCTGCGTGTTCTGGTGCTCGAGCTTGGGGCACTCGCTGATGCGATGGCCCAGCCCGCCACAGAAGGCACACCCGCGCACGCCAGAGGCGGCGGCGAGCGCCTCTGCGTCCTCCATGGGGTCGTCCAGGGAGGCCAGCACGGGGGGGATGCGCTGCTTGGCCTCTCGGAGAAGGTGCTTCAAGTCCAGCAGAATCGTCTCGCTCTGTGGCAGGAAAAGCAGGGAAAGCAGGAGAACCAGGAGGGGAAAGCACGGAAAGCGGGAGAACGAGGAGAGGAAAGCAGGGATTAGAATCTGCTGTTTTGGGGCACATGGATTGGAGCGTGGGGATGAGGGGGGTGGGGGGGTGGGTGGGTGCAGCAGGGACACAAGGCACGGCGTACGGCGCCGGCATGTCATAAATCACCACGTGCTGAATATCACACGGAAATCCAGCCCCTTGGCCGCCACATCCGTCGCTCAGCACCGCACTGCACCAACCTGGACCCCTCAGCACCGCACTGCACCAACCTAAACCCCTCGGCACCGCACCGCACCAACCTGGACCCTCAGCACCGCACTGCACCAACCTGGACCCCTCAGCACCGCACTGCACCAACCTAAACCCCTCAGCACCGCACTGCACCAACCTAAACCCCTCAGCACCGCACTGCACAAACCTAAACCCCTCAGCACCGCACTGCACCAACCTAGCACCCTCCGCACCGCACTGCACCTTTCAGCACCGCACTGCACCCACCTGGAACTTTCAGCACCACACTGCACCAACCTGGACCCCTCAGGACCGCACTGCACCCACCTGGACCCCTCAGCAACGCACTGCACCTGTCAGGACCTCACCTGGTTCTTGTTGATAAACGTGGTGGCGATCCCCGTCTTCCCGCAGCGCCCCGTGCGCCCAATGCGGTGAACATAGTTCTCAATCTCAGCGGGCATGTCATAGTTCACCACGTGCTGAATATCCGGGAAATCCAGCCCCTTGGACGCCACGTCCGTAGCCACCAGCACATCCTTCCTCCCGGCCTTAAACGCCGCAATCGCCGCCTCTCGCTCCTCCTGATCCTTGCCTCCGTGCACCGCCACCGCCTCTACGCCCTTGAGCAGCAAGTACTCGTGAATGTCATCCACGTCCACCTTGTTCTCGCAGAAAATCAGCACCGGAGGCGGCGTTTTTTGGAGGCATTCCAGGAGGTACACGATCTTGGCCTCCTGCTTCACATACTCCACCTCCTGAATCACGTCCAGATTCGCTGCACCTGCGCGCCCCACGTTCACCATCACTGGTTTCACCAGCGCGCTTTTCGCAAACGCCTGGATTTTCTTCGGCATGGTGGCGGAAAACAGCAGCGTCTGGCGCTGGGCTTTAAAGTGGTCGAATACCTCTCTAATATCGTCCTCGAATCCCAAATCGATGAGCCTGTCGGCCTCGTCCAAGCAGAGGTACTTGCATATGTCCAGGTTCATGCGCTTCTTGTTAAGTAAGTCTTTTAGGCGGCCGGGCGTGGCAACCACCATGTGCACCCCGCGTTTGACCACCTCCAGCTGCTGCCGCATGTCAATGCCTCCTATGCACAGCATGCTGCGCAGCTCAGGGTATCTGCGCGGAACGGAAGGATAGGGAAGGCAAGGGGAGATGAGACAGCGGAGTGGAGGGTGGGGAAAGACCGGCCACCTCCAGCTGCTGCCGCATGTCAATGCCTCCTATGCACAGCATGCTGCGCAGCTCAGGGTACCTGGGGTAAAAACATAGGATGAAAAGAGGGATGTAGGGCGGGAGAAAAGGGGTAAAGAGGGATGGAGGGTGGTTGGAAGCTATACCACCTCCAGCTGCTGTTGCATGTCGATGCCTCCTATGCACAGCATGCTGCGCAGCTCTGGGTATGTGAGAATGGAAATAAGGGGGGGCAGGGAAGGCAAGTGAAGCAAGGTGTGTGTGATGAGACACAATGGGGTGATGAGAGAGTGGGAAAGCTTGACCACCTGCCACTGCTGCCGCATGTCGATGCCTCCTATGCACAGCATGCTGCGCAGCTCTGGGTACCTGCGAGATAGAAAGCAAGGGAAGAAAATTGAGGCGCCTCAAACCCCATCTCATCACATGCGGAGCTCAGGGCACTGGGAATGGAAATAGGAGAGAAAAGAGAGGTGGAGAGAGGAAGGGGAGGCAATTGGTGATGAGACGCAAGGGTGTGGAGGGAGCCGGCGGGATGCTCGATCGATCAACTTCAGCTGCCACCCCAGCTCTCCCTTTTCAATCAACTCTAAGGCCGCCCCTTTGCCCATCTCACCTTGCCCATCTCACCCTGCCCATCTCACCCTGCCCATCTCACCCTGCCCACCTCACCGCCCTTTTACCCATCTCATCTCCCCCCTCCCCCTTTCCCCCACTGAACTCACCACTCTCTAATCGTTCCTGAGAGCATCAGCAAACTCCTTCACCACATCGTATGTCTGCCTGCCCAGTCAGCACCAGGCAGGCAGTGCCCTCCAATCAGCTCTAGCGCCCCATCCCTACCTGCCCATCCCTACCTGCCCGTCCCTACCTGCCAGTCCCTGCCTGCCCGTCCCTACCTGCCCGTCCCTACCTGCCCGTCCCTGCCTGCCCGTCCCTACCTGCCCGTCCCAACCTGCCCGTCCCTACCTGCCCGTCCCTGCCTGCCCGTCTCTACCTACCCGTCCCAACCTGCCCATCCCTGCCTGCCCGTCCCAACCTGCCCGTCCCTACCTGCCCTGCCCGTCCCGTCCCCCACGCCCTACTCACCCCGTTCTCAGATTTTCAAACGTCTCAGCAGCAGTCACCCTACCTCACTCACCGCTCTCTCCAGTCGTTCCTGAGAGCATCAGCAAACTCGATCACCACGTCGTACGTCTGCTGAGCGAGCGAGCCCCCTCCTCTCACCTTCTGTCCCCCCTAGTACACCCTACTCGCCCTTACAAACCCGTACTCAATCACTCACCGCTCTCTGCGGTCGTTCCTGAGAGCATCAGCAAACTCGTTGACCACGTCGTACGTCTGCCGGGCGAGCTCTCTGGAGGGGCACACGATGAGCCCCGTGGGGCCCTCCCCTGCTACCAGCGGCATGCGCACCTCCTCCTGCAGTGCCTGTGGGGAGGAGGGTAAAGGGGAGGAGGTGCAAGAACAGTGTGTCCCCGTGCAAGGACAGAGTAATTAATGAAGTCTCTGGAGGGACACACGATGAGCCCTGTGGCCCCACACCCCCCCACCACCAGCGGCATGCGCACCTCCTCCTGCAAAGCCTGGCGTGTGGGGGGATAGAAGGGAGTGGGAAGGAATTGGCAGGGGTAGTGGAACAGCAATCGTGCGAGCTCTCTGGAGGGGCACACATTGACTCCCGTGGGGCCCTCCCCCGCCACCAGGGGCATTCGCACCTCCTCCTCCTGTAGGGCCTGGCATGCAGAACACACCCACCAGCAGGGGGGGAGGAGGGGATGAGATGAGATGAGGGGGGTACAAATGCTGGTTGATTGAAAAGCACCCTGTAAGGGCAGACAATGAGCACCCTGGTTGTGTGGGTGGGTGGGTCCCTCACCCGCCTGCTACTGCAATGAGCGCAAAGCCTCGCAACGAGCACTATGGGCAGCGGAAATGCTGCCACTGAGTGGCACCGGCAGCAAAACGCCCTCATATTGAGCACCGTGGGCAGTAAAATTGCTCACACTGAGTACCGGGGCAGCTAGAAAAAAGCACTCTCATTAGGCAGCAACAGCAGAAGACCACTCACATTGAGCACCATGGGCAGCGCAAAGACGAGTGTTTTCCCTGATCCAGTGAAAGCAATGCCGATGATGTCCCTCCCCTCCAGCACCGCTGGCATGCCCTGCACCTGCACATGGGGTGGTTCAGAGCGGTACAGCGGGGTGACTAGCAATACAGCAATGGTGGCATTCCCTGCACCTGCACAGGGAGATATGAAGCGGTAGAGAGGGGTGCACATCAACACAGAGCGGTTAAGGGCCCCTCCCCTCCAACACAGGGAGTGGTAAAGAGTGGCACGAAGAGATATTAAGCGGTACAGATGGGTGCAGATAGTACAGATCGGTTGGGGATCCCCATTCTCCACCTGAACTGAATGGGCGTGGTGAGGGGAATGAGCAGCAGCACCCACCTGAATGGGAATCAAGGGAGCACGCACCTGGATGGGCGTGGGGCGCACCTGGATGGGCGTGGGGCGCACCTGGATGGGCGTGGGGCGCACCTGGATGGGCGTGGGGCGCACCTGGATGGGCGTGGGGCGCACCTGGATGGGCGTGGGGCGCACCTGGATGGGCGTGGGGCGCACCTGGATGGGCGTGGGGCGCACCTGGATGGGCGTGGGGCGCACCTGGATGGGCGTGGGGCGCACCTGGATGGGCGTGGGGCGCACCTGGATGGGCGTGGGGCGCACCTGAACGAGCACTGGAACCCACCTGGATGGGCGTGGGGCGCAGGATGCCTTTCTTCTTGAGCACGCGCAGGCAGGGCTCGGGCAGGCGCATGTCTTTGAAGCTCTTGATGGGCGGCGGCACGCCCTCGCCGTCCACCAGGATGTGCCACGCCTTGCGGATCTCCGCCCGCTCCTCCTCGCTCATGCCTCGGATGTGGCTCGGCGGCTTCCAACCCGTCCACAGAGGCTCGGTGTACTGTGGGTGAGAGGCGGCGTGGCAGAGAGGAAAGTTGGGGAGATTTTTAGATTTTTAAAAACTCATCTCATAGTCTCAGATGTGGCTGGCTGGCTTTTAGAATTTCTCAAAAGCAGCTCAGGGGCTGCTCTCGGCGCACATGACGGCCTAGAATGTGGATTCTCGCCCCACCTTTAAGCCCTTGGCGACGTTGGGTTGGAAAGAAACAATTTCTTCTCCTCGCCCTCTACGGAACCCTGCAAACCTGAGTGGGTTCTCTTCTCTCTGCACCTGAACGCTCCTTATCAAGCCCTTCACCGCACCTGAACGCTCCTTATCAAGCCCTTCACCGCACCTGAACACCCTTATCAAGCCCCTCATCGCACCTAAACGCCCTTATTCAGCCCTCACCGTACCTGGATACCCTTGACGCACCCAGAATGCCTATAACGAGGGTTTTGAACGCACCTGGATGCCCTTGGCGAGCTCTTTCACGCTCATGAGCGTCTTGCGGTCGCTCAGCCGTTCGAACATCTCCTTCTCCTCCGCCAGCACCTGCTCCGTGTGGCTCAGCTCCGGCACGTCCTTCTTCAGCATCGTCGCCTTCACCAACAGGCTCGGCCGAGCCTCCGGCCCAGCTCCGGCGCCGTCCTCCCCGCCGCCGGCTCCTTCCCCGTCGCCGCTTCCCCCGGTTCCGCCGCCCTTTGCGCCCAGTGCTATACCGCGCGCGGCCGCTCGCGCGGCTAACAGCCGTTGCTGCTCCATAAGGCGTCGTTTCTTAACGGGGATATACTCCTCGTAATCATCCTCCTCCTCTCTCTCCTCCTCGTCCGCCTTCCCGTCCCCGTCTCTCCCACGATTCCCGCCGCTTTCTGCGGCGCGATAGTAGCGCCTCTTTCCTCCTCCCTCGCCGCCATCCCTCGCCGCCTCTTGACTCTGCGACCTCCCGTTGCTTCCCCCTCCGATACCCTCTCGTTCGTCCCCTCTCTTAACCTCCCCCTCTCGTCCGTACCCTCTTTTCGTGTCTCGCTCCTGCGTGAGAGCCTCGTCCCCCTCGTCGCCTTCATAAATCGTCTCCAGACCCTTCATTGCTGCCGAGCAGCAGCACGAGCAGCACGAGAAGCAGTGTAGGAAAACGCTACGCTTTCACTTCACTCCGCAGTAGGTACGAGGATAGACGACTTTGAGTCAAAAACAGCTGTCAGAAACTTCGCAGCGGCGAATATGAGAGGTACTGCGCAACTTTATGTGCTACTATCTCTAGATTCCGACTAGAATACGCAGCGGATAGGAAGGGTTCTTAGCACTACGGATAGGCTAAGAAGCTTCCGTCCAATAGTAGGAAACCTAGAGCTGGGTCGACGATCTTGCGTGCCGTCGTGTACCTCTGGCCGTTTGTCCCTAGGTGGAAGTTCGTAACCAGAATTTGGGTTCTACGCAGGAGATGCACAGAAGCGACGCGCGTAAATCTGAGACACGCAGTCGCCTTGTCTGAACGTTAGAATCAGGGGGTTCCAGAGAAAGACCTTCCTCGCCGCTCTCCTCGCATTTCCAAGGCTCGGTCTTTCTTGGGGGGAGTGGAAGTGCGAGGACAGCAAGATAGCTTTGACACTATTCGCGTTAAAAGAATATGAATGGTGAAGATAATACATTGAACAAGTCCGCGGACGCTGCATGCGGAACCAAATATATAAACGAAGCAACTGTGAATGGACCTCTGCTATTTGTTCAGTTGCAAGACAGAATCTAAATTAGGCCCTTTCATATATCAGCTTCTGCCTGCCTAAAATACTTAATTCAAGAAGCACAACATGTCATCTTCACAGCATGGCAAAATAATAGATTGAATGTTTTGGTTTCCAAACCAGGTTAGTGAATTATATACCACAAGCTATGCCTAATTGTAGGGCAGAGAGGAAAGCCAAAACTGTTGGGACTCAGGGCATGATGTGATGATGGCTCATAAATTCCACATTTGTTGTGGAAGCGGCGCACCGCACTGTTGCTGCTGCATATGAGGCCAGAAGAGTACAAGGCCATACACAAGAAAGGATGTCGGGGATGTTGCTGCTATGGAATCGCATGAATGCTGCTGTGGGTGGCCCACTCTTGTTCGTGCCCTTATTGTGCAATCCACTTGTGTGTTGCTGCAATTTCTAGCCCATATCAGTGCAGGTCAGGGCACGGAGCCTTGGCTTGGGCCATGCAGGAGACAGGCAGTGGGGCCAATGATTGCTGCTGCTACAGCAGCACATGAGAGCTGGTAGCAAAGGCAGGGGTCATCAGTGCCTGTGAAGTTGCTTCCGAATCCATGGATGCTCTGCCAGAACGAAAATACATAGTGCACGTTGTCAGGCAAACCGGGTAATGGCAAGAAATGAAGCAAACAATCGTGATGGTAATGGACGAAAATGAAACCGAGCAGTGGACTGCTGGTCAGTGCTAGCCAAGGTACTCTGTGAAAGACGGGGGGGGGGGGGGAGGCATACCAAGGATTTCGACAGGAGTGATGCGCTTCCGCCAATCCTTCTCCAGCATCCTCGCTATAAGCTCCTTGCATTCTTCCGACACCCCTCCCCACTTGGCGGGACGAAAAACCACCGGCCGTGTAAGCACCGCTTCAGCTACAGTGCGCTCTGCTGTTGCCCAGAAAGGCGGTACACCGCTCATTGCCGCGTACATAACCACACCCATGCTCCACACATCCACTGCCGAACCATATTTCACTTCATTTTCCCGTGGTGTAGATACCAGCTTATTGGAATCGTCAAAAACTGCTCCCCACATTTCAGGTGCCATGTACTCGGGTGTCCCCACCACATCTGTAATCATCTCCCCTTCAGTCAAAAAAGCCGCTGCTCCGAAGTCCGCGAGCTTTATATTTGTGTCGTCTGAAGCGTCCATAAGGAGGATGTTTTCAGGTTTTATGTCCCGATGTACAATTCCGTTCAAGTGGCAGTGTAGCACGGCGTGTGTGAGAGCTTGGCAGAGCTTGGCTCCCGATGCCTCGGAATACGGCCCGAACTTTGTGATCCTATCGAAGAGGTCTCCCCCTCTGCACAGCTCCATGACAAGGTGAACAGCCTGAAATGCGGGGCGAAAGTGAAAAAGAAGGGGTTAAAACGGAAGAGGTTAGAAGGGAGCAATCACCGGTGGTCCAACAACAGGGCATGGCGTTTTGAGCAAGGAGAGAAAAAGGGAGGAGGGGAGGGAGAGACAGGAAAAAATGGGCTGATTGGGAGAGGCTCAAGTAGGTGGAAAGGGAGAAACTGAAAGTAGGTCAGAGGAGGAGTGAAGGAGAGTCATATGGGGTGGAAAGTCGACGGCAGGGAGCGGGGGAAGGGGGGGGGGAAGGGAGAGCGGGCGCGGGGGAGGGAAGAGGAGCTGCTGAGGGAGTGAGGGAAGGGATAGAACGGATAGCATGAGAGGGGGCTTGGGAAGTGCGATGGGTTAAGTGAAATGAACCTTACATACCTTTCTGTCTTCAATCGTGTCATGGAGTGTGACTATATGAGGATGGCCACATGCCAGCACCATGCTCGCCACTTCCCGCCTGATGTCATTCGCAGCCACCGAATCTTTTATCTGAATTTTCTTGATAGTCTTCCACGCGTACACTCGCGCTGTTTCAATTTCCAAACATTTCCGAACGCTGCCGTATTGCCCGCTTCCAAACTCCTGGTGGTGTACAACGAATCTGGACGCGATGTCTTCGTACGGTTTCAACAAAACCGATGACGATACTGCTGAACAGGATGATCGTCTCGCTGTGTACGCGCAGGAGAATTCGTCGGCTGAGGAACCGCCGTCGCTGTGTTTCGCGTCGCTGTGGCACACGTCCCAACTGCCAGCGTGGCAGCTTCCCTTGGTTCGAGTGCCTCGATTGGAAGGTGCGTGTTTGCGATAATGTCGAGGTCGTTCGCATCGCCTCGTGCTTACAGCATCGACGCTATCCGTTCTGCCTCCGTTCCTCACTTCGTTAGTATCACATCCGTCAGCCTTGCACTCAGAATCGTCAACTCCAGTTGCGATCTGGTTACCAGCACCACCCGCGTCGCCACCCCTGCTCGTCGCGGTAGCACGCGCCGTCCTCGGGTCCCTAATCCTTCCCTCCCTATCGCACACGTCCCTTTCTTCATGATGATTCGAGCCGCATTCGGCGTTATTTCCGCCGCCAACCACGCGAGCCTCGTCTCTCCGTTGCTGTACCGTCCCCGCGCTCCATCGCAAGCTTCGCTGCCTAAGCGCCGCACCCTCCGAAGCCGTCGGGGGCTTCCTCGCTGCTGTTTCCGAGCTTGGTTCCGCCGTGCCGCGTTCGAACCGCCAAACGTCTGCGGTTTCCGAGCCTCGGCTTCTGGTTGAGGCTTGTTCAGTCGAAGGCTTTCCGCCGCTGTTGCGCGGTTCCCCCGACAGCAGTTCGCGCACGGTTCGAGAAGCGGCGAAGAATAAATTGGCAGCGAACGACGGGGAGGGGGAATGGCTCGGCGGAGCGCCGTGATGCGCGGGCTCTTGCACCTGCGGCGCGGGTTTCACTGTTTCTGACGATGGCTGGAAGATGCTACTACTCGCGCTACGGAAGTGCCAAGTGGATTTGACTCCCTCGCTTGCTGGGCTCGCCAAATCAAAAGACAACTCCGATTTGTCGAACGAGACGCCGGGAACGAACGAGCACTGGCGTTCGAGAGGCGATTTAGGAGATATGGGAAGCCATTTAGCCGCGTGAAAAAAACAACCAACGCGGCAAATACCCCCTGGTTCTGTTCTACGCTTGTGCTTGGTTGGGAACGGGGTTGCTGTTTGGTTGGGAAGTGTTAGGGCGTGTAAAGTCGCGCACCATTTGCGAAATTTGCAAATGGCTGGAAATCCGACGACTTTTTGGTCGTTATTTCTTTCGCGAACAACGACCAAATGGTCGACATTTTTCCGCCCACCTAAACGGCCACTACTTGCCATTTTGCAGACTTGACAAGTTTGGAGGCCGATTTGCAGGCCGCATGAACAAACTTGTCAAATTTGCGCCCTCGCACAAACCAGCCACCTTGCGACCCAGTCGCACATTTGACTCCAGTTGCGCCACAAACACTCGGCCTCGTCATGAACGAGGGTCAAGAACAATACGACGCGGCTCCATTTGCACACGGCTCGGCAAACCTCCCACCAACCAACCTCAACCAAGAGCGCCAATCTAGCGGGTGGACGGTACATATATTCATATTCGCGGGTGGGGTCCGCATGCCGAGGAATTCAAAAACCGCAAAGGGTTCTTCAGCGTGATTCTGCAACTGATTGTCGATGCAAACGGCATCGTGTGGAGTCTGCTTGCCGGATGGCCGGGATCGGTGAATGACGCAAAGGTGTTTCATCAATCGCATGCAAAACAAAGGATTCTAAACGGTGACATTGGTAACTACGTCATAGTTAGCGATGCTGCCTACGGCTTGACCGACTACACGTACGTCCCCTACAGAGCTACCCCTGGACACCTACTACCCGATGCTCAGGCCGTGTGGAACAAGCAACAATCTCGTGCGCGCATGATCGTGGAACAGGTGAATGGGCGCCTCAAGACGAAGTGGCGCATCCTGGACGCCAGGATGGAATGCCATCGCCGCCACGTTCCTGCCACTATTGCAGCAGTCGTTACTCTCCACAACATCGAGATGCTCCTCGGTGTGCGCGCCCGCATGGAGACGACCTACCCCCGCAACCGTTGGTGGGTCCACGGGCCGGCTGCCGACCTGGGGCACACGGGGAGCGAGGTGGCGGGCTTCACCCCGCCTCTTCGTCGGAATCGCACTTCCGCTTTCCTTTACGCCTCCTGGCGTCTAGGTCATCCTGATCTTGCTCGTCCGCTTCTCGGGTACGTGTGAAAAACTGCGTCATAGTAGTTTGCACGGCAGCGGTAAGTTCCTTTGTCATGTCGCGGCACATTTCTCGCACCCATGCTTCTTTTTTGTTTCTGCGGCGCCGAGGCCTGACTTCCGCCTCGTCATCACTCCCGTCTTCCATATGCGCAGACGCAGAACGCGCCCTCGCCGCCGTGCGCCCACTACGCAGCGAACCACCTGGACTCCCATGGAGTGAGGCGGCAACTTTGCGCGCGCTTGGTGATGCACGGGGGCGGGAAGGCCCCGGCGTAGACACGGATGGTCTAGCCGCGGGGGCATTCTGGGGTCGTGCAGTTGTGCTCACGCCCGGCGTAGTCTGCATCACTGGTGGTGCCGACTGAATTGCGTTAATGCCTGCCAGATGTGCATTGCATGAAGTTGTTATAGGCGTTGTGGATGTGGTTAATGCGTGCAATGAGATGGTTTATTATCAAGGGGTGGCAATGTGCAATTCCCAGCAAAACGTGTTAATTATCCAATGCGAAATCTCAAACCATGGGTAGAGCAAAACAGACACGGTAAGGCACTTACCGTCGGTTGGAGAGCCAATCGGCGTTGGCGGTGCAGGCGCCGTTACAGGCGGAGTAGATGGCGGTGCCGCCGTCCCCAGCGTAGTAGATGCTGGGGTGGCAACTGCGCCAGCTGAAGGTGGTGCAGGCAACACGCTCGCCGACACGCGAGTGTGACTCGAGATTGAGTCCGGAGCCAGGGGAGGAGGCTCTGAGAGTTCAGTTGTCGGCGCTGGCATGGGCTTGTCCGTGGGAGTTGGCGCAGCGGAGGGGCCGTTGACTGACGGTGCAACGGTGCCAGATTCAATGGTGGTGGTCGGCCGGACCGTCTCGCAGTTACGCCACAGCTGGTCCGCCATGTCGTACCACGCGGGGCAACCGAAAGGGGTACCCTCTCCTGACCTGCACCACACCGTGCTCCAGCGCAACCAGGACGCCTCCAAACGACGCAGTTTGGGTCGCAAGGCGGACACGTTGTGACGCCACCTTGGGTTGCGGGCGAGGAGGTTGTGGTGTAGCTTAACAAATTGATTTTTCTTTAGTCCAACGCGGCACCGTGGTCGTAGGTCGCGAGCCGGAAGTCCCGGTGGTCCCGCCCGATTCGGTGTTAGTCCGCGCCAAGTTCGGATCGAGCTCCTCGTCGTCGTTCGCCGAGCATACTTCCGGGGCTTCCTCGCCCACCCCGTAGTCCTCATCAGCACTGTACGGGGCGTCGTGTCGCGGCAGGTTGTTGACAAACCAACTAGGGGGACGCTGCCATGGGTTCACAGGGCGTCGGGAAGACTCGCCAGCAGTTCAAATGGGTGGTGGTTGCGGGTCGTTAGTAGAAGCCTCTGTATCAATAGGCACGTCAGGCGGGCCACGCGGCGCGCTGCTGTCAGGGAGGTTGTTGTCGTTGTCGGACGCCATGGTTGTATCTAGCACTACTGCTTGGTGAACCCGTGTAATCATATGTGCGTTTTGTAGTACGAAAACCTCTGCTGTGCAATGTCGAGGAGAAATTGGTGAGGTCGGCGGTCCTCTTTTTTGGTCAACATATTCCCGAGTCGTGTGCACGTTCTTGTCTAAACCAATTGAACGCACGTTCCGTGTCATGCACGATGGTGAAATGCGATTTGGGGTTCACACGTTCTATCGCAGGGCGCTTTGTGCGACGATGGGCACATTTGTCGCACTGACTAGTCGGCTTGGTGGCCGTTTGCGAGTCGACTCGGCGTCGTTGTCGTGTCGGTTCGCTGAAACGGCCATCAAATATTTCGCGATTTCGCGAAATTAACGAGCTTCGCCAAAAACACGGCGAGTGTCGCAAACGGCCCGAAGGATTTCCCCAAAATTTGTTGTGGCACGACTTTACACGCCCTTACGAGTGCAATTGAGTGAGCCAGCTAGAATTGCACTATCGAAGCAAGAGTACAATGAGAGAAGGCATGAGCGAAGAATATATACCTAAGCTACAGTGGTAACGGTAATGTGTGAAAATGGGGTGCGCGACGGGCCTAGCGCCGAGGTTGGGAATTGTCGAGGCGGAGGTCCGGAGCGCGGGTTACCAACCGAACCGTGGGGTTGGGTCGCGTCGTGAACAGTGGCGGGAACAGTATCGAGGCGAGTGTCGCGAGTGGTAACAGTTTACTGTTGGGTGCTACTCAGTGAGGACTGGGTGGTTTTCGACTCCGTCCAGGGGAATCCAGTTGTCTTCGGTGGGCGTACAGTCTCTCCAGCGAATAAAAAAATTGATCCTACGAGCTCCCCGTGGGTCACGAACTCGGTGGCTCAAAATCTTCTCGGGTGTGATGATTGGCTCCGTTGGCGGTCGTGTCATGCTGGCGGGGCGGTTGCGAGGCAGTTGGCTAGTGGATGGTACGTATGGGCGGAGGAGGCTGGCGTGGAATGACGGGCTGACGTACCAGTCAGCCGGGAGGAGGAGGTGGGCGGTGAAGGGTGTGATCATGTGGCTGGTGCGAAATGGCCCGCAATATCGGGGGCGGAGTTTTGGGGTGATGGGTAGGCGGAGGTTTTGAGTGTCGAGTAGTACGAGGTCGTCGGGCTGGTAAGTGACAGGTCGGCGGTGGCGGTCGGCGTTGCGCTTAGCGATGATGTTCGATTTTTTTATTGCGTCTGCTGCTCGGGTCCGTGCTGCCTGTAGATTTTATGCGAACTGTTGCGCGCGTGGTACTGAGTTGTCGGGATTCGAAGTCATGAGTACTGTGTGGTCTTGTCCGTAGTTTAGGTAAAACGGTGACTGTTGGGTCGTGGCGGATGGCGAGTTGTTGTACGCGAACTCGATGAGTGGCAGTTGCTGTTCCCAGGTGGTAGGGTCGTCGCGCGTGGCTCGGATGAGTTGCTCCATGGTCTGGCTTGTCCGTTCTGTCTGTCCGTCGGTTTCGGGGTGGTACGAAGAACTAAACTGTAGCCGCGTGCCGAAATGCTGCCACAGGTTCCGCCAGAAGTTGCTGGTGAACTTCGTGTCGCGGTCGCTGATGATCGCTGCTGGTATCCCGTGCAGTCGAACGACGGTGGAGATGAAGAGGCGGGCTGTTTCTTCGGCTGTGATTGATTTCTTGCAGGCTGCGAAATGTGCCATCTTTGTCAGCCGATCGACGACGACCAGGATCGCGTCGTTCCCACTCGCTCCAGCCGGTAACCCCGTGACGAAGTGCATCGTCACCTGCTGCCAGGCACGCCTTGGGGGTGGTATCGGCTGCAACTGCCCTGCCGGCCGCCTCCGTGATGATTTCATGAGTTGGCAGGTGGGACACGATGCAACGTGTCGCTGCACGTCGGTCAGCATCTCGGGCCAGTAATAATACCGCTGCAGCTGCTGCCGTGTTTTTTTTTCTACTCCGAAATGGCCTGAGGTAACTCCGTCGTGTGCCTCTTGTAGCAGTAATTCCTGTAGTAACGTGTAACCCAGTACCCATATGCGGCCGGTGCCGGCTTTTACGTAATAAACTCCCTTTGCTGCTGCGAACTGCTGCGAATTTCCTCCTGTGAAGAATGGGTCAGTTTGATAGCCGTGGGTAAATAGTCATGTCAGTAGTGAGCTGGTCTGGGCGAGTAGTATGGCGTGGATTTGGGCAGTGGGGTGGGTCATTGCGTCAGCGATGTTCGATGCCCCCTTTTTGTAGGTGACTGTGTAGTGGAAATTCGATTAGAGGAAGTCGAGCCAGCGTCGTGGGTTGAGGTGGGGCTGTGCACGGAGGTACTGTAGTGATTTGTGGTCTATCCGTACTATCACGTCTGCGCCGATTAAGTAGCAGCGCCACACTTTGAATGCGTGCACGATCGTGAGGATTTCGCGGTCGTGTAACGGGTAAAACTTCTCGGGCGGATGCATTTTTCGTGACTCATATGCGATGGGATGTAGGCCGTTGCCGAAATCCTATAGCAGTACGGCTCCGATGGCGATGTCGCTTGCGTCTGTAACTACTTCGAATGGGCGGTGTGGGTCGGCGATGCGCTGTACGGGCGGTGAACAGATAATAGTTTTCAAGGCAGAGAAGGCAGCATGCTCTTTCTCCCCCCACGTAAAAGCGACCCCCTTCCGCAGTAAATCCGTCAGTGGGGCTGTTAACCTGGCCATGTCGGGGACGAACCGACGCACGTAATTAACGAACCCTAAAAAACTCTGCAGCTCCGTGATATTTGTCGGTGGGTGCCATGCTTTCACCGTATCCATCTTCTTTGGGTCGATCTCAACCCCAGCCTCCGAAATAACGTGCCAAAAAAATTCTAGCCTGTCTTGAAAAAACTCGCACTCGGAACCCTTGGTCGGTTGCCGGTCCTCGTCTAAAATTTTAAATACTGCTTCTAGGTCTGCTAAGTGCTGCTGCCTATCGCGACTGTAGACGAGGATGTCGTTGAGGTAAACTACCACTCATTTATCCAAGAGTGGTATAAACGCCTCGTTCATGGTCATCTGAAACTGTCAGATTTATATGACATAGCTACTGTAGGCTATAGTGGGGTAGCACATATGGGGTACAGTTTTCTAGGGTTTACATTTGTACCCAACTTTCCCTTAGTCAATTCATTCCTCGTTTCTTCTCATGGTATCGAGCAGGTTCCCTAGTGGGAACGATTCCTAGGGCCCACCACCACGAAATTTTTTTTTCCTGCCCGGAGCGCGCTTCGCTCCGGCCCGAGTCGCGCCCTGTGTGCTCTCCCTACCGTCGCGCCCTCGCTAGGCCCCTCACGGCCCCGTGTGGCCCACTGTGAGCGAACAGTGGCGTCGGCATCAGCAGCAGGGGCAGGAGAGGAACCAGAGGTGGTCAGCGCTAGCAGCAGCAGCAGCAGCGGCAGCAGCGCACTCGTGACATCCCCCCCCCTCAGCAGCTCCGTGAGTGGTACGCTGCACGCCAGCGGGGTGGGGGTACTGGTCCGTGCACCTACGTCCTACGCACCGGCGACCGCGCGGGTGAGCCGTGCGGGGGTGCGCACTCCACCACGCGCTGCTTTGGCCGCCTGACGGACGCTTGGTGTCACCAGTTCCCTGAGGCCACTGAGATCCCCCGCTGGGGCGAGCTGTCTAGGGCGGGTGTTGTTGTCTTTGACCTTGACTTTGATGCTATTCTTGCTGCCATGTATGCTGTGACTATTAGTGATGAGGGTGACTGTTACCGGTGTTTTCCGCCCGACCCGGGCATTGAGACTGCTACTCTAGGTACTGGTGAGGCTGCTGCTCTAGGTGCTAGCGAGGCTGCTGCTCTAGGTGCTCGTGCGTCTGCTCACTCAGGTGCTGGTGAGTCTGCTCTCTCAGGTACTGCGTCGGCTTCGGCCTCCCACACCTTCACCCTTGACTCGGGGGCTTCTCGCTCCTTCTTTCGAGACCGCAC